AAAAAAAAGAGGATAACGAAGGAGGAGGAGGAGAAGAGAAGAAGACGAAAGGAGGAGGAGGAGGAGAAGAGAAGAAGACGAAAGGAGGAGGAAGAGGAGGAGAAGGAGAAGAAGAAGAGGAGGAAAGGGGGAGGACAGGAGAAGAAGAAGACGATAAGATGAGGAGGGGAAGAAGAAGAAGAAGAGGAAGCAGGTGAAGGCGGCTTCACCCCAATGGCGCTAGCCGCTTCACGGGCAGCGACAACGTGGATTCGTTCTTGACGGGGCAGCTCAACTGGGAGCGACGATGGCAGATCGACGAGGAGGAGCAGCGGCGACGGCGGGCTTGGAGACGGCAGCTACGACGGGTGGGCTTCGTGATGACAGCTTCACAGTGGAGGATACCACGTTTGAATTCGAACGCGGCGTGGTAGGCCAGCATGGGGGGAAACGGGGTCATTTTTTGCGGCTGATCCCAGCCGCCGGTCTTTGCAGGTCGGGTGCTGAGATCAGTCGCCGAAGAACCCCTTCCCCCGGCCTCACTTGGGCCTGAGTTCGAAACAAAGTGTTCACGGGGGCCAGGGATGTTACGACTGGGCGAAAAAGGCCTTCCCCCCCCCCCGCGCGAAATTGCGCTGGGCCCGCCCGGCACCAGACCAGGGGACCCAACTGGCCGGGCCGCCCGGGACCCCTGCTGGACGAAGGCTGGGCCGCCGGTCGGCCTGGATTTTAACACAGCTTTTTTTTTATTTTTCTGTTTCGTGGGAATTTCATTTCCATGACTTGCATTCATGACTTGCATTCCAAATTTTTTTGTTGTAAGTAATGCCTGACTGATCCTTGGCCTGAACATCTGGTGATAACGCAGACTAGAAAGTTAGAAACAAGTCTGACTTACACTGGCATAGTCCCAAGTTCCCAACTACTCATCTTTTGGGACAATCAGGACCAGTCCCAAGGGTTGTCCCAAAAAAGGAGGAAAAAAAAAAAAGATAGTCCCAAAAAGTGAGCGATCTGCATGAAAAGGTTGGGTCGTGGGAGTCACTACAGTCTTTCCCCCGAATAGAACGTACGTCGTACAGTCATCATAGCTGTATTTGGGGCAGCTTCAAGTCTAGATGCAGCGATAATGGCCATATGTTCTATTCAGGAAAAGACGGTAGGCCTCGATATGGGCCCCTTTTGGGCCCCAGGTTATGGATTGTGAGTTGAGATTGCTTTTTTTCAAGTTGTTTTGCTTCTTTGTCCTGAAGGCACCCCCGTATATGCTCTGCTCCTCTGTTTACTTGCTAGCTGCTGCATTTGAGGTTTAGGGTTTGTCGTCAGTCTTTACTATGGTCAAAATTCCTATTGAGTTGCTGCTTTTGCTGCGTTTGCCTGTTTGATTCGCTGATTGGTTGGCTGATTGCGTGTTTTTTGGTGGTGGGTTGATTGATAGAGTGATTGGTTGGTTGACTTGTGACGCTTGTTTGATTGATTGGTTGATTGATTGATTGGATGATCGGGCAAGCTTGATTGATGGATTGATGGATTGCTTGGTTGATTTGCTTTTTTCAGTGGAACGGTCTTGGTTCATTGGTTGGTCGGCTTAGCTTGATGGGTTGATGGATGTGCGTTTCGTTTTGTTTCTCTATTTCAAATTCCGTTTCATGCAGTTCCGCTTTGCTTCTACGCGCATCTGGCGGCGCATCGGGCTCGGCTGTATGTCGACGACGATGGCTCGGATGCAGGGTCGGTCTCTGGATTTGCGAATGATGAAGAGAGGAGTCGTCAACAAGAGAACAAGAAACAAGAGATGAACCGAGCTCTGGAGAGAGTGAACAGGAACATGAGTGAGAGGCCGTTCTACCTATGAGCAACGTGAGGGAAGCTGGTGTGTAAGCCGTGTTGTCTGTACATAGCCTCCTGATGAGTTGGTCGGTGAAACTCGGACGAAACAGTCTGTCACAGCCCCCCCGTTTGTTGTTTTCCTCTTCTAGGGTTCACCAGGCCGTTCTGTTTCATCAACTTTGATGATATATAATACCTCCTGATGAGTTGGTGAAACTCCGACGAAACAGTTTGTCACAGCCCCTCGTTTGTTGTCCTCTTCTCCCTCTCTGCCTACGTTTTTTTTTTACCGGGCAGTTCTATTTGACGATATATAATATTATATATATGCTGTGCCTCTAGTGCCAGCGGCGTGTCTGGAGTGTATTTTTTGGCTGTGACAGACCTTTCTTTGTTTCGTGGATGTTTTGCTGGCTTGTGATGGGGTGTGAACCGACAGTCTGTAGAGTTTTCCATCTGGTGTGGGTGAGTGATAGTCTACTTTGATTTTGGTTAAGGTAGATTATCATTTACAGTGTAATCAGTGAGGGGATTCTGCAGACTGTTAGACTGTTGAGGGTTCAGCCTCCTGATGAGTTGGTGAAACTCCGACGAAACAGTTTGTCACAGCCCCTCGTTTGTTGTCCTCTTCTCCCTCTCTGCCTACGGTTTACCGGGCAGTTCTATTTGACGATATATATATTATATATCGTCAAACCTTTTTTTTTTTTTTTTAATGTATATATTCTGTTTGTGACGATATATGAGTTGGCAAATCTCCGATGAAACTATGCGTCACAGTCCCTGTTTCTTGTCCTTTCCCCCCTTTCTGCCTGCTGGTGACCTGGGATGTTTGGCCTGCCCAGAAGCCGCATTTTCCTGCAGCTGAGCTGAGGATGGAATGGGTGAAAGCTGGACCACGCCGTGAACTAGCATGTGCACCCGAATAGAACGCCCGGTTATTATAGCTACTGTATATGGGGCAACTTTCAGTCCAGATGCCGCGATAATGGCCGGGCGTTCTAGTCGGGCGTAGACGGTAGGTTTGCGAAACTGTGGCAGTAAAAGATGGGGAAACGCTATAGAACCTCCCCGGTACGACACCTTTGTATTCATTTCCCCCCAGATGGGGCAAAAGGTGTCGCAGGCCCCAAAATGACTTTTCGAGTCATTTTTGCACCCTGGCTGGGCCGGTAACGCCCGCTGGCAAAAATGGCGGGAGAGTGTTTTCCAGGGTGCCAAAATGATGCAAAAAAAGCCATTTTTGGGGCCTGCGCCACTTTTCGCCCCGTTTGGAGGCCAAATGAGTGCAAAGGTTTTGTCAGGGGGGGGGCTATAACTTTTCCCAAGAATATGGCAAAATGTGGAATCTCAAAGAACGGCTCTGGTGGATCTTGGGCCCTTTGGGGTCATTTTTCCCTTGGATGAATAGTCCTGCACCTAGGAGACGAGGTCCCCATGAGTAAACGAGGGTCACTGTCCAGGTAACCTGGATGCTCCCATCGGCGGTTGTTACTAGAGAGTACTGAGGACGAAAAGGCAGGTTCAAGTCTCATGACTCCCATGTGCGTCCTGGCTGAAGCCTGACGGTGTGTCCTTATCGTCATGGGTGTTCTAGCATGCGTGCTCCATGCTTTTCCAGCATCTGGACCTGGACTCCTGGCTGTTCCAGCATCTGGACCTGGACTCCTGGCTGTTCCAGCATCTGGACCTGGACTCCTGGCTGTTCCAGCATCTTGGTTCCAGGATTTGGAACCCAAGTGTAGCGTGGACTACTGGGTGTTCCAGCATCGTGCTGTGTGGGCCAGAGTCTGCGCTCCAGTGACCTGAAAGACTCTTGGGTTCCAAACACTGGAACGCCAGTGACCTGCAAACACTGGAAATCCAGTGACCTGAAAGACACTGGTGTTCTAGGGTCTTGATTACGGCGGTTGGAACTCCAGTGACCTGAAAGACTCTTGGGTGTTTTCCTTTATCTTCCTGTTTTTTTTTCTGCATCTTGGAGAGGTATGATCAGTGTGTACCATCACCACCACATTGTGCTCGTTGTGGGATAATGGGACACTGATCGTTGCGGGACCATCAGACACTTTTCGTTGTGGGACAATGGACAGTGTTCATTGTGGGACAATGGGACACTCGTCGTTGATGGGACAATGGGATGCTGCCCATTGTTGGACACTGGGAACAGCGTAACAATGACCTGGCTATGGAAGCAGCCAAGCTTTTCAAGGAATAAACCTCGTTCTCCCATCATTGGTGGGACAATATTTTGGGTGTCCCATTGTCCCATAGTTGGTGGGACAATGGGTGTTAGAGGAGCCAAGCAAGCAGCAAGTTTGAAGGTGTTTCTCTTTTCCCTGAATCAAGGTACTGCAGGACCATGGTACTGCAGGACCATTGACAGCAAGCAGCCAGTTTGAGGCACTCCTGGCCGCCTGTTCAAGCTGAAACATCAAAGATCTCGGCGATGAAATATGTTAATCTCATAGCCGGTGAGGGATGTTTGTGATTGACCCATCCATTTTTTCCTTATAGCTGCTAATTTCAACTCCTCTAGGGCAAGGAATAGTTTTTGCCACAGAGAGAGAGAGAGAGAGAGAGAGAGAGAGAGAGAGAGAGAGAGAAGAATAGTTGTTGCCAGCAAGCGACATCATAGTGTCCATGTCAGAGGTACCCTCTAGGTGCATACTAATTGTTTCAACGGGGAGAGAGAGAGAGAGAGAGAGAGAGAGAGAGAGAGAGAGAGAGAGAGAGAGAGAGAGCAAAGGACAGTTCGACATGCAGCTGCTGCCTCTTTGTGTGCCCCTGTTCTGGAAGGGCTGTTGTGCAAAAGACCCTTTCACACCTGTTTCTTCCCTGGTCTTCTGAAACTGGGAGTTTCTGCAGCAGACTGTTCTTGCTGCTAACTTTGTGTTGTGGCTTTGCCGTTGGCGTACGTGCTGCTTGACCCCGAAGAGGTCACTTGTTGTGTGAAGTGTTTTCCTTCGCCTTTTCCCTTGCCCGGGAAGGGGACACGCACTTCTCACTCGCACTGAGGCTAGGCACTTTCTCATTTGCACAGCATCACGTGCAAGGCTTTACTTTGTGTTTGTGAATTTCTTTTGCCAATTTTTTATTTTATTTTTTTGAAATATTTGGTTTTCCTCGTCAACTTCCATCTTCTGGATTCAAACTCAGGTCTATATTTCAACAGTTCATTGGTGTACCCACTGAGCTAGGCTCTTGGGTGTCCTTCGCCATTTTTTACCCATGGGAATGCAAATCTTCCTCTGGCGCCACATAACCTCTGCCACTGCCTAACCCTCAGTTTCGGGGGGGGGGGAGAGGAGTTGGGGTTCTACCCCGGGCCTTCAGTTTGCAGGGGGTTTCTACCCCCTTGCAGCTTGCGACTGAAGAAAGCAAATTGTGCCTTCAGGGCAGAGAGACATGCGGGCCGTGGACATGATTTCTGATTTGGCATGGCTTTCCGCAAGTTCGTTCTTTCCAGGGATTTTCACTTGAACCACCACTCCTTAGGCCGTACTCTCACTAGGACTTTTTTTTTTTTACTTCTGGACGTAATTGCAACCAGATGCATCCTGGTCTGGCTGTAAATGCATTCAGAGACATTTAAGATAGTGAAAGTCGCATAGTGTGAGTATGCCCTTACTTCTGGTAAGCGCTCTGGTCTCCATTTACATATTTTGGCTTGGCTTGCCACCGGTTTCTTCGCTTTAATTTTTTTTAAATTTATGGTTTTTTAATTTGGACCATTTCTCGTTTTTGGCGAGTCATCCTTGCACAGGGGCCATGCTAATCTTCTCTGTATCGTTCCAATTTTAACGGATGTCCCGAAGGACGCCACCGGTTTATTCTCTTTTCAAGTTTTTTTTTTTTTTTTTTTCAAACTTTTTTGCGATTTTCTCTTTCAGTTTCTGGCCTCTACGAAGGTGGCTTTGCCGTGCTACACTATGTGGAATGTGCTTTGGTCAAACCTACTCTCTCTTTCCTCCTCTGCAGACGGAGCACCTGCAACCGCAACTGCACCTGTCGCACGCTGCCATTTGTGGACTGCATTCATTCGTGTTGCAGAGGACACCCTTTTGTTGAGCGTGCGTTCATGCCAAGATGGCAACCAGGGCGGCGCCATTTTTATTTTGGCCTGAGAACTCCTCTCTTGTTTGAAGAGCAAGCAGTTTTCAGAACATGTTTTTGGCATTCTTCTTTTAACTACCTTTTTAGGGCATGCTGTGCCATGCTCTTCATCTAACTCCGTAAGGCTCCCTGACTCTGAATGCAATTTGCGTGTACGGCCCTGTAGGCGGAAGCAAACTGCGTCAGGAGGGTAAGTTTGGGTATAAGGCTTGCCATCCCACCCATAGGTCCTGGACTGAATCGCAACTGGAAAATGGGGAAGGGTTTGATCTTTGAGGGGTAACTTCCAAATTAGGATCAGGGTGGGGTATAAAATTCTTCTGAGAGGGGGGTTGCAGGAAGAATGGTGAACAGAATTTCAGGTGGTCATGTTCAGTGCTTAAACCACCACATACCTGCAGCACGACTGGGAAAAAAAAAAAAAAAAAAAAAAAAAAAAAAAACAGTCTCCATGAAGTTTGGAGGGCCCTGTAACGCACCAATGGCACCAATGAATGGATTTATAGACGGCTCGCGCATCCCTTTTTTTTTTTTTCTTTTTTTTTTCTTTTTTTTTTTCAGACACAAGTGCTCCAGTCTATTCGTGGGGAGCAGCACGTGCTGGGAACCGGGCCCAGACACTTCAGGTAGTAGGCTACTACTTGAAAATTCGGAGGCCTCCAGGTAGTAGTGGTGGTTGAACGAGGAGAAACGTAGAGAGCCAGCTGGTCAGCCGTGTGGTGCAAAGGCAAAGGTTGTTGACTCTCCTGAGTCTCCTCCTTTTTTGTTTTTTTTTCTATCGATAAGGAAATAAAGAAGGATGATGCAAGCGCAAAAGAGATAAAGAAGGATGATGCACAGTGGAGGATGCAGGAAGGACGATCTGTAATCAGTATTGGTCTTTTATCAAGTTTTGTGAAGTGTTATGGGTATTGTCTGCCGACTCTGCCCCAAGGCGAGTGCTAAGAAAGCAGAGATTTGGGTGCATACGCATGCATGCTCAGAGAGAG